AAACACATATATATAACCTAGCTGAAGAATCGTCTAGGAGTGTTCAGCGTATGTAAAAATGTCATTTTGACAACGTTAAACATTAACTTTCTTTAACGTTAACGTTAAAAGTGACCAACGTTAAACGTTGAAATTAACGAAAATTAACGTTGACTAACGTTAAAGCAGACAGTCCTACTTAATAACAACAGCCGCAACACTAAAAAAATTAAGCAGTTATACGAATGCACAATTAACATTGAGCGAAATAAATACTCAGTTAGCAAATGATGTTCGTTTAAAAAAGTCATCGACAAAAAAATCATCAGTGAAAAAATCAAATCAAAAACCGGACAAAAAAAGTGATAATGAAAAAGAAAATATCGATGCAACAGCTGATCCTGACCAGTTCAGAGAAAAACATCGTCTAAAGCTGCATGATCTGCCCAAGAGAAATCGGGTAACAGGTCGTCCAGATTCTAGGAATAACTTGGAAAGTTCAAAGAAAACTTAAAAAAAATTCGTATTCTAACGAGGAAACCTATGCACATGTACCTCTCCGTTGTTATTCATTCATACATCGATAGATAGAGGATATCGAGGTTGTAAAAAGCTAAAAAGGATCCGGGCCGATGGTTTTTCCTTCAAAAGTTATAGGCATTTTTCTCAGCGAAAAATAGCCGTAAGTTAACGTTTTCACCATAAAATTTCAATTTTTTCTCAAAACCAACATCATATTTCGAATCAGCGTCTAAAACTGCATTGAACCAGCGTCTAAAACTGCATTGAACCAGCGTCTAAAACTGCATTGAACCAGCGTCTAAAACTGCATTGAACAATCTTTATTTCCGAATTTCTAGACAACTTTGTTTTTTCAGCAAAAATTTCGGTCGAAAAATTCGAAAAAAATCAAACTTGTCTAAAAATTCTATAAGTATACCAACTTCTGTTTTTTTTGACTTTCATGCGCAGAAGCTAATGAAATTTGTTTTATTCTGCAACGAATGAGAAACTCTGTTTCGAATTTGTAGTTTATAAAATAAAATTCTTGATGTCTGTTACTCAAAACGACAGTCGTGGAAAGTTCCCTGCATTTTACAATGGACGTCTACCGTTTTTGTTCCAGTCCTTCCAAAAGAAGAAAATTACTTTTTACCTGTGCATCTTTCATTTTATTTTGTTTTTTCTTTTGTTCTTTAAAGATGTCATGTCGTAATAATAATAACAAACAGCATCATATTTTTACAAAAAGAAAGCATTGAAAGAGAAACATAGGTAACAAGCGAGACATCTGGTAGACAAAGAAGAAAAAAACACTTTTGATTTTTCTATTTTCGATAACTTATGAAGAAAATCGACAAATGAGCTCTTGATGGTTACTAATGATATAGAACTTCTAAAGTGAGATGTGTACCACCTTTTCTTATACCACACAAAAACACGTCTATCAAATGTGAAACATCTCTCGTCTTTTGTCAATCATATCTTTCAGATTTAATTTTTATTCAGAAGCGCCGTTGCCAACCACTATGCATTTTGTATAAATCATAATGGACTGGCAACTACAACCAACCCAAAGATATAATTATAAACCTGAACAGCCTGTGGGACGACGACAACGGACTCCACCATCAGCAAGACATGACTATAACCAGCAGCAGAACAACAACAGCAATCGAGAACTACCACAAACTCGACACAGACATGAGGTTAAAGTATATCTTACAAATAATAGCACTGAAATCGCATCACAGGCCCAAACTTTAATACAATCGAGACGAGAACCGGTGACTTTAATTCCTACTGTTCAAAGACATACTATAGAAAGTAAAGAACAAGAACCACATCAATCAACAGCGAGTAAAAACTATAATGCATCTTTGTACACTTCATCCAGATCGAGATTCCACACCGATAAATATGATTTTGAAAAAGTAAAATATAAACAAAACGTCGATGATTCACCATGGCAACAAGAGAACAGATATCTGTCAAAGAACGTTACATCAGATCCAGTTCTCCCACCTAGCAGAAGCCGCCGACAACACAGTCCACTAACATCTCGTGAGTTCTACTTACCAGCTCAACAGCATCGTTTCTCATCTCATCAGCAACAACCGACACGAGTACGTCACATCAGTGAAAAGTCATCAACCTGGAGGCTTAAAAGCGATGTGTATTCATCAGATGATGACGCTGGCGATAATTGTACTTTTACACCGCGATCATATCAGCAGCAACGTGGTCTTCAAGTCGAAGATGATGTTGATCACATATCACGAAAAAAAGCAAGAGTACGAGAAATTGAAGAATATGTTAGCGAAGTTGATCGTCGTGCACAAGGTAATTCATCTGGTTCTTACTGTTCGTGACTTCTAGTTATTCTCCCCCTTTTAGAACGGCAACATCATTATCCCTACTCAAAACCATCTGATGTTCATATTATTGTTGATAATTCCAATGTTTTCATTGCTGCTCAGCATTTATTCAGTATCTCTACGAGTAAAAATGGGCTGCCATCACAGTCACAACAAGATGCCGGCATTCGTATTAATATTGGTAATTTAGTGACGGTTATTGAGCAAGGTAGACGACCATCGGATATCAGAACCCGCCTTGTGGGTGGTAGTACACCGCCGAAAACAGCACGAGTTTGGACTGAATGGGAAACATGTGGTTATCGTTGTTTGTTGGGTGATCGATCACACCATGACAAGGTATGTTAGAGAGGCTTTCCTTCGTTCCTTGATCAGTCTAACCCTGCTTCGCTTTCTACTTCGTTCTCTAGGAAGTATTTCTGGATGATATGTTACATGCACAAATTTTGACAATCGTTACAGATCATGAAGATAATGTGAATGATGCCGCTAATAGCAGCAGACGGCTACAAACTTTAATACTTGTTAGCGGCGATGGTAATAGTAATGATAATCGTACAAGTTTTCCGACTGTTGTTCTGAAAGCGTTGAAGCGCAAATGGTTGGTTGAAATCTGGTCATGGAAAGCATCTCTGAGTTCAAAATTTAATGAAATACAAAATTTATTTCCGGAGCAATTGACAATTAATTATTTAGA